TTCCAAAGTCTGATTCTAATTGATATCTCACAAACACATTTATAATATCTGTAACACATTTATAATATATTTTAATATATAATTATAGTGCTGAAACACTGGCTTAGAACTTATATGGTGTTTGGCCAAAGAGCGCAGGTTTTTATACCAAACTAGTACAAACTTTTGTTATTAAAGCATTTGACATAATCTTATAATGTTTTGGAATGTTTGTTTGCAAATTTACATAGCCTAAAAACCTTTCATCATTTATTTCAAAAAGGAACCTGGCCAACTTATATTATATATCAAATAAATAAAGTGTACTTAAAAATTATATGCAGTTATCATAGTCTAAATAACCGTGCCCAAAAATAAAAAAAAACAATAATAAAAATATTGTTTTATTTAAAAAGAGTGGTTAAAAATGTGACCATCTATCTCTAATGTAAGGCGATGCCTGGTTACACATCTTTTTTTTATTTTTTACATTTCAAATGCTGTTGCATAAAACAATTTCTAACTTTACTTGTTTTTGAAATGTTTGTGGTCAACCTTTTATTATATATTATATTTAATAAAAAAAATTCATAATTTAATTACTATTATTCGTTATACTCGTTTAATTACTAATGTTCTGGATCATTATTAATGGATCGATTTAACCGTAAAATAGACCAATAATATGGTAAGGCTATGTTGTGTAGCAGTTTTCATATAAAGTAGTACTGAAAACTGTTAAAATCCCATGAGGTTGCTGTGGAGTCAGGCGTTTTAGATAGAAAACCTAATTTAGAAAACGCACAAATGTCAAAAGCAAAACGATGTTATCATAACTGCATCTTTAAGATATGACTTGATAACAAATGAGTAAAGTTGCATTTTATGTGTAAGACGCCTGATCGCACAGCAAATACATGGAATTTTGACAATTTTTGGTACCATTTTAATTGAAAACTGGAGTGTAGCATAGCCTTTCCATGACATTGATCTATTTTACGGTAGAAACGGCCCAAAAAAAATTAAAATGAGAGTTTTTATAAAGTTTTAGACGTAATTGTAAGTTTTGTAAAGTATTAGATGTAATAGTTGATGTCACAACTCGAGACTAAATACAATACGTGCCTTTTATTTCTTACTTGAAATGTGAAAATGCATATTATAATCATATGAAACATTGAAACTTAAATTTTGTTTCTTAATTTCTGCATTTAGGGCAATAAGCGTTAGAATTCTTATAGTAGAAACTAATGATGAAAGGCCATTGAAACATGGAATTGATAATAAAGTTCTGTTTCAACCTTTTAGGCAATTAACAGTGAACGACAGATCAGGAACCATTCAATAATATGATTAATTTATTTGATAAGCTTACCTTGTGCTAAAATAGAAGTAAAACCTATCGACTGGATCACAATAAATAGAGACCACAAATCCATTGTGAATGTGAGAGACCTGAAAGAATAGAAAAAGATTAAAATTATCACGTAAGTTTCATAGTTAAAAAAAAACTTTACTCGTCAGCAATACTACTATAACATAAATTTTATAAAAATCCAGTTAATGACTGAATAAATATTTTACACATAATTATGAATAAATTAACAAGGTATATCTTCGCTCGAATCAATAACAAAAACAATGATCATACACTACTTACTTATTTATTAAGTAAAACTGATTTTGTATAATGTAAAAATCACTCTTCTTCAGAGCTCATTATTTATTCAGAACATGAGCAAATTTTACGCATTGTTTACGTTCAATTATAATAATAAAATGTTTTTCGTTTATTGAGTAAAAGATATAAAAAAGAACAGTAGATTTTGCCAGATCAATTCGCTTTTTATAAGTCTGAAATAAACTTAATTAATTAAAAAAATATTTATTAACTTCCCGAAGGAGAAGTTTATGTTTTATAAAGTTACTTTTTGTATATTTTTTATAATTATAATTAGGTAAGCTAATTAAGTAGGTGAAACTAATATAGAGTAAGCGCAAAATTTTCATATAGTATATAGTAAAAATAGATTAAGTTTAGAGTTAAATAATATAAAATACATAAATATTTTAGTTATATTACCATGCTATTAGGCGCAATTAATTGATTTTTCTCTAAATCCTTCATATCTTATAGTCATATATAAATAAGTAAATGAATAGGACTTTATCGAATTGATTTCAAATTTTTGCTTTAAGTTAAAAATATTTGCAGTCTGCATTCCATAGTCTTATCACGATTTTTATGATTTTTTTCTTGACGGTAGATACCATAGTCTTATAGATCATACTACAATATAAACGGCCCAATGACAAGACATTTAATTCTAAAAATTCTTCAAAGTTTGCAAAAATTAGTATCGTTTTTTTAGCATTTGTCAAAATTAGACCTTTTATCGACGTTGGCTCAAAAACCCCTGAACCGATTTCAGAAATTTTAAAGCCATTTGATGTATCTCAATGAGGACTATCGTTTGTCAGTTTTATGCGACGATCTGCCAAGCCGTTTCTTTGTCATTTGGAAAAATATGTTAAACTTTTCGTCCACATTTAAGCTCATACTAACGATACGATTTTAACCAATCAAAAACTGTTCGGACGATATTAGTTGGGAATGATACTAATTAGTTTTAGGTGAAAATCTACCGAGCCGTTTTCTTGTAATTAACTGTTGAAAATAACTTAAGCCGATTTTCATGCAACTTATTTTGGCGATATATACCATGGTCTTATAGAATTTACTGAAATATTACAGCCTTCCCACAAGTAGTTTAATTTTAAAAATTCATCAAAGTTTGCGCAAATGAGTAGTTTTTTTTGACTTTTGTTAAAATTAAAATTAGACGATTTACTTGGTATAACGATAGAGTGTTCGTTCGTTTCCAATGATGTGTAATAAATCCACTCGGAAAACTTTTAATCACTCATAATTTTTTTTTTATATTTTATTGATTAAGTCGATCATTTACACATATCGGGAAGTTTATGTAACTTTCCTCAAGGCAAAATACGAATACCAACTAGTTATTTTTGGAGTTCATTTGTAAAATTGCTTTGGTATGTATAAGAACTTTAAACTATCATAATTTTTTTACGTGCTAAATTACGCACTGAAATGAAACCGTCAATTTTGGAATTCATAAAATATTTATGGTTATAAATTTTAATACTACAATTTTGTTTTGTCAGAAGAGTACACATAAAAACCAAAAATGAAAAAAATTTATACGATATTCTATTTCCTGACTACCACATAATACCTACATATTTGTTTGGCGGTCTATCTATTTATTTGTCTACCAGTCGCACAGCCTACAAATCTATCTCTCTTCATGTCTACGTGTCTACCTGTCTACCTGCCATACTATCTATCACTATTTCTCTATTTTCCACCGGTCTACCTGTGAACCAACAACCTGGCTACTTGTCTATCTATCTATCTTTCTACTTGCTCACCGGTCTACCAGTTCTCCTGTGTACCTTTAATTCTATTCGTATATAAAGCAATAATAGAGATTTATAAGGATCATATGGCAAGGTAATTTTTTAACTTTTTTCCCTGCAACATCAAAACCGCTGGACCTGTCTTAGCAAAAATTCAATAAATCTCTTATTTTATCTTTACAAGTTTTATTTAATCATTCATATCGGATGCTCTGTTCACTCAAAAACTTTATTTCTATTTGCTTTCTCGAGAAACTAATCAGTACATTTTCTTAAGCATCTGTATTTTTCAAGAAGCGTTTGAATCCTATGGACAATTACCAAATGGCTTTTTGAAAAATTCAGATCGGTTCATTCGTACTTTCAAAAACGCGGAATTGTATCCATACATATCCATTTACACATACACAAATAAAAATTCTACGAAAGTTTCATTTCGATTTTTTGCGACTACTATAACTTGCCGTACGGGAAGTTAAAACTTAGACAGGTTCATTTATCATTGATTTTAATAAGTAGCCAGAAAGTTTAATCAATTACAAATATACCAGTGAAACCATAATAATAAATAATACGATTCACAGCCTCACATATATTATTTGCAGTGTTATTCCATAATCGCAAATTTTAAATAATTTATCAACAAATGCCTTAGCCACGAGTACAAATATATCTACAGTATCAATATTACATTGGCAAATATGTAAAATATTATTTCAAGGCAAAAGAAATTTTTAGATAGATGCTAAAAATGCTAATTTTATGTTAACATCTTAACATGTAATTCAATGTGATTTACAATGTTGATCATTGTTGAACGACGGCTACCGGAACAAAAATGAATCACAACTTATGTCATTAAGATCGTAATTATTTAAATTTTTATTGTAATTATTATAGTATGTATATATGTACTAACGTACTAATTTTTAAAGCATAATTGTACCAGAAGACAAAAAGGTGTATTTGTTTTAAGACGAGTTGCAACTGCCTGATAATTGTAAATTGTCGACATATTCAATAATAATTGAAATATGTATCTATCCAGAACAAAATTTAAACAATTGTTTTAATAATAAAATTTCTGTTTTTGTTCGCACTAAAAAATACCAAATAGATCATCTCAAGAAGGCCAGGAATGGGCCAAAATACCCCAGATCCACTTTCGTGCTGCGTGTTATGGCTTTTCGCCCGTTTGAGGACCATAATTTGGGCTTCCCAAAAGAAGCCTTTTGGAAAGCCCAAATTATGGTCTTCAAACGGCCGAAAAGGTGGCATCTTAGAACAAATCTAAACTAATTCTAAAATTTGATGTTATTTTCGACATTTTTGCTTTTGAACAATAAAATTTAAAAAGAAAATGAAAGAAATAAAGCGCTTTACTTTGTTGCATTACTTATCAGCCACCCTGGATCTATCCAGAACAAAATTTAAACAATTGTTTTAATAATAAATTTTCTGTTTTAGTTAAAAACTAATCAATGCGATTTTCTATCGATGTTTTTCAAACAAACTAAAATTTCTTTAATTGCATAAATTTTAAAATGTACAAACGGATGGTGCTTGTCCAAAAAGCATGGCATATTTCTAATTTTAATGATTTTTTTTATAATTCAAACAATTTTCGTACCATTATATTTCTGTTTAGACTAAACCATGAACTCTAGCGACTAACAAGTGCATTATAACCATAACACAATTATGGTCAGGACAATCTATGCTCGTAACTGATTAAGACAATCTTCATCTTATATTTTTCCGATAACAAATAACAGATTTTAAATTTCCAAAATTAGTTCAAGATATTTTAGGAAACCGTGTATAAACAATTTGAATTTATCTTTTCATTAATTCGATGTAACTCGATAAGAACTAGCGTTTCTCAGTTTTACGCGACGATCAGCCAAGCCGTTTCTTTGTAAATACCAGAAAAGTAAAACAATGTTGACCACGCTCTAGTCTGCAATTCTGAATCGATTTTAAAAACTCAAAAACCATACGAGAGTTATTGGTTTTTGGTATTGTTGGTATTATTATTGGTTTAACTGATCAGTTTTTGGTGAAGATTCACTAGCGCAAGTTATTGTAGGGTAGGGCGGGGCTAGTTGAGCAAATTTTTACTTAAACGGATGTAGTTTCTCAATGAAAAGTCTCAATAAGTTGCTATACGGCTTAATGGATTTGTTGTTTATCGCTTAACAAAAGTGTTAATACTATTTTTTGGTAATAAGTAAAATTTAAATGCTACAGCTGTTTAAATGCAAAAAGTCAAGTATGCTCAATGTACCCCATACCATAGGTGGGACAATTTGAGCACTAAGAAAGTATAATGAAATCATAGGTTCAATGTCAATTAGTGATGAAATAAAATAAGTTTTTAATAACCAGTTCTATATTTATAGTCTTCATTGACAGAGCAAACAAAACTTATAGTAATTTTCTTTGAATAATTAACCAAAAGTAGAATCAACAAAACAATACGATATTGTTTTACCATTATATTCAGTATTTTTGTTTAAGATCATTATTTCTTTATATTTACTCATAGACTTAGCTTAAATCTTAAAAATAATAATTAATTTCTGGAAGTTAGTGGTAATTGTCTTAGTGACAGAACAAGTTTAGCAACTATGCTCAACTAACCGCAACTCGGAATTTCAAAATAAAAGTGAGTTTATAATAAAACCGTGAGAATTATACCCAGAATCTCTGTGCATATTAAAAGTACTGTAATTATATGGAATAATGCCATTTACCTGATTAAAAATAAATAACATTTGACTAAACCAGACGAAAACTAGTGATGAATTACTTTTTTACTTTTTGGTCTCAAAATAAATAAAACGTCCGTGAGCCTCACTCATTTGTCCAGCGGCCACTAGCGATCGCGGTATGTTTATTTCTCCCAAACTTCTATCTTTCCGCCATATAATGCCTAAACGAACGGCGAATAGTTTTCGAGATATTTCGATTGCTCAATTTGCCCCTATTCTCA